TCTCTCTCTCTCTCTCTCTCTCTCTCTCTCTCTCTCTCTCTCTCTCTCTCTCTCTCTCTCTCTCTCTCTCTCTCCCCCCTGCCTCTTCTGCCTCTTCCCCCTCTCTTTCTCTCGACGAGGCGAGACTGTTGTTCTCGTATTATCACAGTATAATTGATACGAAACACTGACATGGTGTCGGATAGCATGACGGCGAATCGACCCGCCGTCGGTTATTAATCCGCTGTGCACCTGATTATTTAAAAGCACGTGACGAGATAATTCGCGCGAGCCACTCAACCAATCCGAGATACATATAGGGTAGATTTGCCGAACGTGTACTAGTCACCTAATGCGTACCTCATCAATATTTCATATTATTAGTTAATATAAGTAACATTTAGTAATAACAATGTGAAATCAATGGGAACTAAGTAATATAGACAACAAAACTAATTTTGTGCATGATACATCTAGCATGATACATCTTATTTTGTGAATACTAACGACATTAAAAAAAATTCAGGTATAACTGATGTTAATTTTTCATCAATTTATATAACTGATTATAACGTACCTATGCCATTTTATTATAAATTTTTAGTTTTTCATAAAAGAAGGTTTATTATAGAATATTTTACATTCATTGCATATACACATTTACAATTATTATAAGGATTAAATAAATATTTTTTATAAAATCCATCAAGTTTCCTAAATCGTATCACCACAAGGTTTCCTATCTCGTACCAGATACGATTTTATAAACAAACGATATATGTAAGAATGATACAATTAATATAAATGTAAATGGCTAGATGCCTGAAACATCAGACTGCAATTTCCAACGGTTGTTCGTGTACAAATCAGTATCAAATGTGATATATGTTTAATAAATAATACCTTAAGTGGTACGCATTCGGCAACTCTTCCCTATTATCCAACGCGGATAATTGCTGTGGGTAAAGCGTTTTCTTTTCTTTTGCAATAAAATGACTTTCGAGAAACCGAGGAACGCGTTTATTTGTCTTTTTTTTATTACTGGCTCCTTCTCTTAGTTGGTCGTACGAGTGATAGCGAACAGGAAGTTTCCGCAAAGTTGTAAAATCGTTTGTCATTTTCTCATTAACCAGCGAGCGTGGGAAGTGAGGAGATAAGCGGGAGCGCGCGGTCCACGTATATCGTGGACAAAAGGAAGCACGTTCGCTCGAAAGATACGTCTACGCGAGTCCTCGCGTTGTCCTCGTGTTTCATCCTCGGTGCCTCGGCAAAAGACCACGAGCCACCTTGATTCGACGAATACCTGGTCACCGTGTTCCGTTCGTTGAAGGACGAATCCTCGAGAGTCGGCCTTCCGCACCGAGCGCGGCCCTCCGTGAAGATTAAGGCTATGCAATAAAATATATATATATATATATATATATATGTATGTATATTGCATACATATATGTATATGTGTGTGTGTGTAACTCGCGCGATGCGATGGAAATTATGAGCTTGATAGTTAAACGAGATCTGCGACCAAACATTATAGTTTGCAAGTCCCTTGTTAGATTTTTAATGACTTATATAAATATACGAATTAAAAGGGCAGAAGGACCAACTCTGTACGAGCACTAAGTAGTTGTGAATGTTATTTTATTCGGTATTCTCTAAAATAAGTGACTCGCGAATAATTGAGAGGTAAACAATTCTGGCTTTGATAAGCCTTCTTTGGTATAATTTTAAATTTCATAGTGATATTAATGAGATAATACAATATTTAACATTTTATAGTAAAAATAAAAGTAGAAACAAGAAGTCATCATATTGCGATGAATATAATAAATAAATTACAATACAATTAAGCGTTAAATTAAAAACATAAATATAAGAGCATACGTTCAACGAAAGGCTGACAAAAAAGGGTAAATAGTTTGTATATAGAATCTAAATTCTTTTGACAAGCAATCGAGTCACGATGATAAAGAATTGTTGTAAATGTAAGCCAATTGTTTCACACGACATCTTAATTATTTATTATCTCGCTGTCAATATAAAATTTAAAATAATAAAAGAAGGCTTATTAAAGCCAAAATGTTTACTGCTTTTTATTCAAGTCGATCATCAGAGAATAAAGAATACAATAATATTCACAACTTCTTAATGCTCGCACAGTTGGTCCCTCTACTCCCCCCCCCCCTCTTTAATTCACACTGCATTAAATGAGCTTAGATTCCTTTTAATTTACGTAAATATTTTTACATATTACATATATGCATGTACAACAATGTAACAGTATAAAAATATTCCGAAGAAATCCGACTTCATTCTCTCGCACGCTTCTAATATACGGCGCGTACGATGTTGCGAGCCTTCATCGATATTCTTCGATCGTGTGACTTTGCACACGGCGTTATTGTCATCGTCATTGAATGCTAGCCAGTGATAGGGGAACGCAAAGAGGTTCTTGTGACGAATGCGCATTTGCGCACGGCATCATTGATATCTGATAGATAATATCCGCCGCTCGGCGGAAGGCGATAAGAACCGGTCACATATTCTTATAATGTATTGCCGTTGTCGAAGCGTGTAACAATACATGTGTCAACAATACATGTTACGCGCAAACGTTTCCGTCAGCCTTGCTACGGAATTGTTTACGTAATTAGAATGGAGTAAAACTATATTGGTGTCCTCTATAGATACTTCCTCATGCCATTCTCAGACATTCACTCTTTTCTTACACGTTTTTTCTCTCTTCTTCGAAATATTCGTTTTTAATAATATCGAGATTCGTATTTTTTAAATGAATACTCCAAGAATATGTATCTTACTAATTGTAAGTACTAAGAAATGTTTATCATTTGTTTCCTAAGAACTGTTAAAGATTATTACGAACACGTTCCGTGAATTTTTTACCCGGAGCTGTTTAATGTCTCGGCTATAAATGATTAACAAGTATTTTCATATTAGATGTTCGATAAAAATGTTTGCTTTGTTTTGCATTGCATTTTGTACAGGAGAGACCTTCTACTTTATAATCTCTTTTACTTTTATAATCATAACAGAGCACAATTTATTAACGACTATAATGAACGTGACGTACGGCGCGGAAAACAAGTGACGTAAAAGTAGTTTGTATTAAGAGATATTCGCGTTAAAAAATAAATTATTTTACCTAATTCGATCAAAATACGTTTCTTTATCAGCCAAGTGTCAAATAAAATGATAGATTTTTTTCAATGAATCTTCGTAGAATTGTGATCAAGAAATAAATCTTGTAAAATACCAATTTTATTTTCACTACATGAATTTTATACAGAGTTTCGTTCCGTATAGATGTAGTTGTACCGTTTCCTCTTATCACATATCGAGCGACTGGGCATGAATATCTCCGTACGAATCTTATCTACCCGTAAGGATCCTAAGAAGCAAAAATAACCGTGAAATCAACGTAATTTTCAGTATCGCGACTTATTGATCGACACGTAAGAAGCTGTCGAAATCATTTCAACGTTCCCAATATACCCGAAAATATCAACGTAACAAAACTAGCACGTTAAGAGAGATGATAAGAACAAATACAAAGATAATTACTGAACAGAAATGTCTCTACAAAGACGTAGAATCGTATTTTTTTCCTCGAATCAGCGACGGCAAGCCGCACGGATTAGTTCACTAATACGTAATCGCTTTCTTTCATTGCGCAACTTGAGGAAGAGTGATCGCCGTACGCCATTTACAGTTGTAAAGAATAGAGAAAAGATATCTTAGAAGTACCTAATATCCAATAAATAATTGTTATTTATTAATTCTTAAATAATAAGCAAGATCTATCAGTTGTAATAAGTTGCAGTAGATTATAAATAATAATCGGAAGCGTAGCATGTCATTGCGCTTCATGGTCAGCCGTGTTAAATAAGGAATCTAGGGCAAAGTTAAACCCCTAGTAGCACAATATATTTGCGCAATATTGGGAAATGTAAATCTAGTATTCCCAATATTGGTCCAATATTGTAAGATGGACGCCTTCTCTTATTTAGCCAATATATTTTTCAGCAATATTGGTCTAATGTATCAATATTCTTTTTACACTGTTAAATATTGGTCAATACACTTCCAGAATAAATCTAATATTATATAATTATTATCGCGCGATATTTACATTTATTCCATAGCCAATATTGGGTTTATATAGTTGGACAATATCGGCCAATGCATTTCTAATATAACCAACATTGGACCAATGTTTTATAGCCAATGCACTGTGCTACTAGGGACATTGTTTCTTCTGGAAAACGATTCTTTATTACCGTTAATACTTCAACCGCGTGAAATGGAAATGCATTTGTTGCGGTTATATTGCAGGTTCAAGGATAAGGCGCTTTATGGCTACGGGACGAGCATCCCCCCGAACAACAACGAGGATGAGGAAAACGAGATGTCACCGCGGAAGGTCATCTTCTGCGTTCATGGAAAATTGTCAGGCTGTTGCACTGTGGTGAAAGGCTCCGGTGACGAAAATGCCACGGACTACCAACAAAATCCGACAGGTACGTTTTTCTCGGGAAACATTTAATCGCGCATATCTGAGAAGATCACATGGAAATTATCCGAAAGATAGAATCATGACGATAAGTGATTTAGAAGAAGGACCAATATCCTTTTCAGAGTTTTCTATTGGCATGTTTTAAATTAATCAGGAAAAGGAGGATTAAAAAACCCGTTTCAACCGTTATATTGTGTTAAAATAGCTGTATTCGACATTGCACGAGTCTGATGAGTAACTCTTCTTCTTTTAAATAAATGCTGACACTGCGTTTCTTTCTTGCAATTATTTTTAGTGCCTCTCGAAGATCATTGTCACAGGGAGAGGGACGAGGAGATTGACAAGAAAGCCCGAAAAAAGTTACTGGTGGCCAGTGTGCTCTGCGTTATTTTCATGATAGCAGAAATCGTCGGTAAATGACAAAATACGTTGTCTGTATATACGAGAATACTCTGTGGAAGTTAATTATGAGAGCGGACAGTTTTATCGTGCGTGCACACACAAATTTCCTTCTTATTCTTCTTTTCAGGCGGAGTATTATCGAATAGCTTGGCGATAGCGACCGATGCCGCACATTTGTTGACTGACTTTGCATCTTTCATGATATCTCTTTTTTCCATCTGGGTCGCTAGCAGACCGGCCACCAGAAAAATGCCTTTTGGTTGGTATCGAGCAGAGGTGAGTACTCTTTCCTCTCTCCTTCTCTGATATAAATATTAAGTTCAAGAATTCTTTGACGCCAGTACATGATTAACAATGATTAAGCTAATCGACCACAACTGGCGATGTGTTTTAAACACAGAAAATTTATTGCGAAAAATATTAGCCTCAGCCAGGGTTTGAACCTGGACCTCCCTACACTCTAGTATCTGAATTGTACTACAAAAGAAAGTTAGTGCGAAAAAATTGGTATGCCTGTAGTATCTTGGAAATTTCCTTGCAACTACCTTGTAAAATAATATAAATATTTCAGTGCATAGAAATTGAGAAATTTTCTGCTTTAGGTCATCGGAGCATTGACCTCAGTTTTGTTAATATGGGTGGTCACCGGCATCTTATTCTACCTCGCGATAGAAAGGATCGTCCACAAGGACTTCGAGTTGGACGCCACGGTGATGCTGATCACGTCTGCAGTTGGTGTTGCGGTAAATCTAGTGTTAGTGATATCATTAACAATATTTATTTAATTTTCTACGTGACCCAACGGCGATTCGTACATGACAACGTGACGCAACACTTGATTCTTCGCGAAACACTTATATTGTAACTACGATGCATAATGTAACATTAATCGAGCGTACTCACACAGCAATGTATATCTGAGACTTGGTATTATTTTGTGCATAGAAGCGCTATTAAAAAGAATTACAAGCGCAAAATATTCAACTGTGTCGGTAAGAAAAGATGAATGAAGGAGTTCGCCGATGGCTGAGGGATCCTCTAGATATCTTTTTGATATATCTTGCTATGTGGATTCTCTCGCCGTGTAATGCGAGTTGCAACAATATGAATTATATGACAGTTTGAATGTCAGAAATGTTTGACAATTAATTGAATTATATGAATGTCTCGATTTAAAAAAGTAGCTAAAAAATTGCAGATACAAATCGATTGCAACAAAATTTCCGGAATCAGACTCGTATTTTTAATCACTTTAGAGGGGCACATGTGCACTGTATTATAATATAATTTGTCATTGCAGAATGGGCCTGTCGTTGCACCAGCATGGCCACAGTCACGGCGGGCACAGCCACGGCGGGCACAGCCACGATAGAAGCAATGATTTGGAAAATGAGCTCGATGATGATCTCAAAGGAGAGAATTCGAAAAGGAACATCAACGTGCGCGCCGCGTTCATCCATGTTTTGGGTGATTTTATTCAGAGCGTAGGAGTGTTCATCGCCGCATTAGTCATTTATTTTAAGGTATCAAACTTTCATCAACAGTTTAGTTACGTACACATTTTTGTGATGGATCGGAGCTTAAAGCAGAGCATAATTAAGCTTCGGAGACTTATTGCCCCTACGCTCTTCACGTATTTATTTTTATATCGAGATATTTCGTGACATTTTCGTAATTCAACAAACAGATAAGCTTATCTGTTGCATAAACGTGATTTTAATGATCACGTTACGTGAGAACACCTTATCTGTCGCAAGACACGATTTTAATGATCGATTTATGTTTCAGCCAAGTTGGAGCATAGTGGATCCAATATGTACATTCCTCTTCTCTATATTAGTCATCCTCACCACGGTGGCGATTATCAAGGACGTAGTCAACGTTCTGATGGAAGGTATTCCCAAGGGTTTCGAGTATTCTCACGTGGAGGACACCTTTATGCAAATAGATGGTGTCGTTAAGGTTCACAATCTTAGAATCTGGGCGCTCTCGCTCGACAAGACTGCTTTGTCAGCGCATCTTGCTATAAGTACGTACACCCAAAAATACAATCCGGCATATGTACTTCTTATTTATGCATTTAGCAAAGCTTTCTCTCTCCCTCTCCCTCCCTCTTCCCCCCCCCCTCTGCTCTCTGCATTAGTAACAGGTGCTTTTAGAAGTGCCGTGAATTTTTCTCGATTTGGAATTTTTATAAATTCTTACTTCATCTTTGGATTCTTAAATTTACTAATCACAAAATCGCACACTTCGCTGCTATTGTACATCATATTTATTATATTGTTTTCTGATATTTTTTATTAAAACAAGGCGATATTGTCTTTATTTGCAGAACCCGGAACGAGTCCTCAGATCGTCCTGCGCACTGCCACGCGAAATATCCACGACAAATACAAATTCTTCGAAATGACGTTGCAGATAGAGGAATTCAACGAGCGAATGGAAAACTGCAAGCAGTGCAAAGCACTGTCGCAATAAGTCACCGCTGTTGTACTTATATGTGTGTCTCAATCGCGATATAAGGGACGTGATGTGTAACGAAGATAATGTTAAAAGTTTCATGACCGTCGCGAGATCGCGCTCCGCCGAATGAAGCCGATATGACAGCGTACATGCAACACATCGAACTCTTGTTGTACCTCTTCATTTTTTTTTCTTAGCTTCGTGAAGATATGTACGAGCAGTCAATGTCAATCGTACACACAATGCGATGTATTTTCTGTGAATAGTTTATTTGTTATTTCATTATAAGGTAAAATATCATTAGTTTCACAAATAAACGAGGTCATATTTCGTTTGTCGTTGTTGCAGTTACGACATCAGGTATTCATATTTATATATATATTATATTATATTATATATATATATATAATACAATATCCTTTACAACTGTAACATCTGGTAGACTGGTAACTTTTATTGAAATACTTATGGGTTATTCTTAAAAATTGATTGAGATACTTATTAGTATCTACTCAACAGCGAAGATGAAGAGGCGCCAAAGAATTATCGATAGCACGGTTCGATCTTCAAAATTTCTTCTTTATTTACAATGATTTTTCACAGAGTTCCAGCGATGTGAAAACAGTCAATTTTTAACTTATAAAAAGTATTCCTTATCTTTTTGGTGTATTTTAGTGGTGTATTTTATATATTATATAAAATTATAAATGTTTTTCCTAAGCTGTTCTGTTATCAATTAAGTTAATTAGAAAATAATTGTTCACGCCGCTTGCTTGTATTAGATACAATAATAACTTGTCGAAAATAATTTTTATTCCTTTGTTCTCTTCTTCTCTTTGCTCTGTGCATATATGTATAATAAACGAGGTCATATTTCGTTTGTCGTTGTTGCAGTTACGACATCAGGTATTCATATTTCTCAAATTGGTTCCGTACTAATAAGTATCTCAATCAATTTTTAAGAATAACCCATAAGTATTTCAATAAAAGTTACCAGTCTACCAGATGTTACAGTTGTAAAGGATATTGTATTATATATATATATATACATATATATCATGGGAGGGAGAGGGAGAGAGAAAGCTTTGCTAAATGCATAAATAAGAAGTACATATGCCGGATTGTATTTTTGGGTGTACGTACTTATAGCAAGATGCGCTGACAAAGCAGTCTTGTCGAGCGAGAGCGCCCAGATTCTAAGATTATGAATCTTAACGACACCATCTATTTGCATTAAGGTATCCTCCACGTGAGAATACTCGTAACCCTTGGGAATACCAGATGTTACAGTTGTAAAAGATATTGTATTATATATATATAATACAATATCCTTTACAACTGTAACATCTGGTAGACTGGTAACTTTTATTGAAATACTTATGGGTTATTCTTAAAAATTGATTGAGATACTTATTAGTACGGAACCAATTCGAGAAATATGAATACCTGATGTCGTAACTGCAACAACGACAAACGAAATATGACCTCGTTTATTATACATATATGCACAGAGCAAAGAGAAGAAGAGAACAAAGGAATAAAAATTATTTTCGACAAGTTATTATTGTATCTAATACAAGCAAGCGGCGTGAACAATTATTTTCTAATTAACTTAATTGATAACAGAACAGCTTAGGAAAAACATTTATAATTTTATATAATATATAAAATACACCACTAAAATACACCAAAAAGATAAGGAATACTTTTTATAAGTTAAAAATTGACTGTTTTCACATCGCTGGAACTCTGTGAAAAATCATTGTAAATAAAGAAGAAATTTTGAAGATCGAACCGTGCTATCGATAATTCTTTGGCGCCTCTTCATCTTCGCTGTTCTAGTTTTTCAAAAATAAACAAACTGCCTAAAGCCCGTATCAGACTACGGATTGGGATTGGGATTAGATTGAAATTTAACCAATCACAGTAAAGTTTACTAATCTCAAGTTCAGTAACTTTTATTCTGATTGGTCAAATTTCAATCTAATCCCAATCCCAATCCGTAGTCTGATACGGGCTTTAAAGGTCTGTGTCCACGATACTAGAACTTGGTCCAAGTTCTAGTCCCGGGAACTGTGTAGCCAATCAACTTGCAGCTTTTATGGAATAGCTGCGAGTTGATTGGCTATACATTTCTCGGAACTAGAACTTAAATTGGATCAAGTTCTAGCATCGTGGACATAGGCCTTAAGACCACAGTATAACCAGTAGTTGCACTCTCTGTCGGCGCCTTTGATCTGGGCGTTCTCAATTTTCCGCCATGTTTTTATTCGCGCCAACAGTGTATCAACGGCTGAAAGTGCCTGGGCCCTTTTCAGGATCGTATCCAGGAAAGGCACATACGAACTGGCATACATTATTTATTATAAATGGAAATGGCCTATGAAAGAAAATGTTCTAATAAAAGTAATTAATGTAATTACTTGCTCCAACGTATAAAAGTATTTACCCATTATTCGTCAACACTGCGAATTTTTCAATGTCACACCGACTTTGCACTAACACACGTACAAAAATCCTGTGATTGGTCAGAATAAAAACATGTCGGATGCGCAGTACGGATCGGCGCGAACGTGAAACAAAAGAGCGAGTGCCACTACTGGTTATACTGTGTTAAGACCATGGGTTCACCTTTCTTTTTGCACCATGTGCAAGAGTGCAAGATGGCAGCTACTAGGAATAAGTGAGTAGGAGTTTCTGATGTTTATGCTAACGTATATATGAAAAATTGCAATATTAAAATTTCTCACGACGACTTATTTATACCTTTTTACTTTATCCTTTTTACAGATTAGAGGATTGCGAGGTATGCGGCGCGGCCAAGGCGCAGTACACCTGTCCGAAATGCGAGGTTAGAACCTGCTCTCTCACGTGCGTAAATGTTCACAAGAAGGAACTGGAGTGCAACGGGATCCGGGATAAGACCAGATTCATCCCTATGACGTCATTCACCGATCTGGATTTATTGAGCGGTAAGAGATGGAGTCTTTTTCTCTCAGAATATTTACATTGCTTAACAAGTCACGAGACTTTGACCGTTTCACACTTTGCAGACTACCGCTTTCTCGAGGAAGTTAACAGATCAGTTGATACAAAGAAAAGAAATCCAGAGATGAAGTACACGCGTCAAATTACTAATCTACCAGTGGTACGATACCCTCTGGTTTTTTATTCTGTTATTTTAACCCTTGTTTCCACCAGCGTTGTTTAACCTTGATCTAACAGCAAATTCGGCAGCATGCACTAGTGCGCACTGAGTGCACACCAAGGCTTGTTCGGAATCTGCTCTTATATTTATGGTCATCTCAAGTACATATCCAAAAATTATTCGTACGAATGCTAAATAGATCACTTTACTGGCTAAGGCTCGGTTTCACTAAACGTCGCTTAACCTTGATCTAATTCATGTTTGTTTCTTTCGGAAGTAACAGTTGGAAAGAGACCATGAACAAATTAAATTAAGCCTAAAGTTAAGCGACGTTGGTGAGACCGGGTCTAAGAAGTAATTCAAAAAGTATTTAAGACAATTCTTAAATATAAGAATTGACCGTAAACGAGCCTTAGTGCGTACTAGTGCAAGCTGCCGAATTCGCTATTAGTTTAAATCATCTTTTCCTTTTCCAAGGGAACTTAATTCTGTTTAGTAAATTAAACTGTGATCGAAAACACGACGTTGGTGAAAACGGGCATGAGTGTGCAAGATATTCCCCTCTTTCAGCACCTGCATAAGCTGCGATGCGCTGCGTCCTACAAAAAGGTGTCGCTGTTATTTATGCCGCAGTTCTTCAGCCGGCACAAGGAGAACACTACGTATCTGAACTGGAAGACCAACGAATTGTTCTGGCGTCTGGAGTGGATTTTTCCACTAGCTGAAAATGTAGAGTGCATAGTGGAGAGGTATACACAGGAATGCGCTATCTCCTCTGGAAGCCCAGGCTTTCGGCAATTAACGGCAGCTTGTTATTACGTTCATTACAGAAATCTAGACAGCGTAAGATTGTCAACATTGCTGGAACAGATTTTAGATCCGGTCTCTTCGACGGACGGGACTGACATCGAAAAATTGAACGGCAGACTGTTTTTAGCCGATAAACTGCAATTTTATAGAGCAGCCGGGTTAAGTAACATTAAAGTTTTTCTGAAAGCCGAGAAAATAAAGAAGGCAAATTCTAGGTAAACAAACATGTACATTCTAGTTTTTTTTTCTAATCTTTCTTAATTAGAGTACTCGGTTAATCTTGACCGATCGCTCCCTTAGGTTTTACGATTTGGATCTTACGCTTACGTTGAGAGAAAATTTGGAGAACAAAACTATAGTGGAGTTTCCAACGTTGCATGTCGTTACAAAGGATCACTCGAATGTGTACGAGATTATAGACACCGGTAAATATCCATTGCGACAGCATTTTAACACTTTAACCAAATCGAACCAAACAACTTTTGTTTAAAACATTTTTCCGTATCTTTGGTATTTTTGGAGATATTTGCATGGATCATTTAAAATGAGACCCTGTAGATCTACACATTGTTATCTAGATGAGGAAACCAGTGATGCAGAGTGCACAAATTACAGTGCTAGGAAAAGGTACGGTAATGATAATGGGTCTGATAAAAAGGTCGAGCCAGTAAATTATTTCTTCAACGATTTCTCCGGTTCCGATGATGAGAAGACAGACACCAAACCAAAGAGGAAACGATCGCTTGATATACCGAATTACGAGGACTTGATAAAAATGTGAAAATTACCTTCGTTACAAATAGTTATACGTGGATATTTTGTTATTGTAAATACATCACCATTATAGTTTTAATACAGATGAAATACATACAAATGTAGTAACATTAATGACGTGTGTGGCCATCTATAATACATATCTTTTTCCTAATTGGTTCCTTTTCTGCTGATACATTGTATACCTGCACACCACCCAAAAATACAACCGCACTCAAAGATAAATAAATACGTTTTCCTTAAGTTTACAGCGTTTACACTAACTCGGGATTTCACAGAGGATCGCACAAGCAGTATGGTTTAACAGAGATATAGGAATGATAAATACGATCTTTTTTTTTAACAGTAATAAAAATCCGTAACGTCTCCACTTATCTTTGCGAACTTTCTCTATTGCAGTTGACAACTTGGAGGCAATTAACTTCTTACTGCAGATCAACTTCCGAAATAAGTAGATTGTACAATCTGCTAAAATATATTTTTAAAATGGTCGCACATTGTGTCGTTATTCTTCCGTAGAAATTACCAAATCTTTTACGTAAATTTTACTTTTCGAAAAAAAAGGATTGGTTTTTGTCATTGCACAGCGCTAAAACACCAAATATTTTGCTTCATATAATTATATGTTCTATTCTTTTATAAACATAATTTTTACATAGACCAATATAATTACACTCTCGCGACTTTTATTCGTGTGCAAAATGTTAATTTCCCCTTCTCTGCAAATGGATGTTGGAATTGTAAATACACCGTAAATACCGGCGAGATAAACAAAAATACCCTACCCTTGGAAATGGAGTGCCGCGCTGACGCGTATTACCAGTTTTTCCGCCCGTGTTGCTTAACTAAAGGAAGAAATACCACGCTAAGAACAAAAATGCAATGAGGCCGCCGATAGCTTTCATGTACATCGATTTACTGTTTAGATGTCTCGCGTCTTTTTTATACTTCTGCGACAGCATCGACAGGTTTTGCGTCTTCGTATCCAACTCTGCAAGACACACTTGATACATCAGTACAAATCTACGTTTCAGGCTCAGTTTAGGCGCACAGAAACAGTTGCACGTTACCTGAGAGTACGGTGCCCCTCTGCAAGACATCGTCAATATTTTGTACCATGATTCTCTGCACGTCCTGCAACTGGGTGTTGAGCGTATTTAGATTCCTGCGGGACCTGCTATCCGTGAAGATCTTTTTGGCTTTCTGAATGTACGTGTCTGAAACAAGACGGAGACCGTAAAGCCGACGCGCTCGAATAGACACCAACGTTCACGGCTCGTCCACGGCTTACCGAATTCGATGAAGGTATAAGGCCTGGTTACTGTATTTACACGTTTACCGTACTGAGCATGGAACTCCTGCGCTATGTCCTCCAGGTAGCTGTACGCCACGCGCGTACTGTAATTCCTCTCGCACAGTACCAGGTAGCACACTTCGTTTTCGATTAAGTAGCTGCAAGAAAGGTATGAGATGCAAGGTGGCTTTAACTCGTGGACCAAACTCGTTTACACTCACTGGAAAAGATACGGTCCAGTTTCGAGGGTACACCTCGTCGGGGACTGCGGACCCAGCTTCCTGAACAGCATCTTCGCCTGGTTCTGATACTCCACGATGTTCTTGCCGTCCTGCGACACAAAACGGAGCGAGCGTCACAACCGGCAAAACGGTGTGTCGTAGGTCCGAAGCTTTGACTCGCCACGAGAGGTCCCCTTTCCTGCGTGCATTTCTGGGCAGCGGGTATCCCCGGGACGCGTCGAGCTGATCGCGAGTCAACTCTGGGGATCAATTCTGTATCTTACACTGTAGTGAAGATACTAAAAGTGAGCGAGTTAGTCTCTTTCTAAAGAGACAGTTAGAAAGAGTCAAAGCTACTAACTTTTAGCACTCTCACTGCAGTGTAAGATACAGAATTGACCCACTGTATCTTGCAACATGGTGAAAATGCTACAAGTGAGCGGTTTTGTCTTCTTCTAAGGAGATAGAAAGAGACGAAGCTACTAACTTTTAGCATTCTCACTGCAGTGTAAGATACAGAATTGACCCACTGTATCTTGCAACATTGTGAAAATGCTACAAGTGAGAGGTTTTGTCTCTTCCAAGGGGGTCAATTAGAAAGAGACGGGGCCACTCACTTTTTCACTACGGTGCAAGATACAGAACTGACTTCAAGATGACGTTTCACCGCGGCGCACAGTTTCTAACCTGCTCGTTGTCCTGCATGGTGGCCGCCAGCGGCAGGCCGTCCGCCACCCTCGCGATTATCGTGAACAGGACCATCCTGGGAGAGACCTATTCGCCGACCCCGAGCGAAACGAGCCCGCGGAGAAGAGGTTCGATCGCGTCAATCACGTCGTCACCGGTGAACTTCAACGTCCGCGAGCCATCGACGCGTAACTAGTCGCCGATGTGGCCTCCGCGCGTCCACTCGCAATCCACCACGTCAGTCGATCGCGGTCGATCCGCGCGCCGATCGCACGTACGGTGGACGACGGGACGATCGCTTATCCGCCGAGCGACGAGACGAGCCTTACCATCGGAAATGGTAATTCTGTCGGTAATACAGGCTACGGGAGGAGAGTCTCTCATTCTCCGTTTTTCATGAAAATTCATAGGATCGTGTATTTTTTCCTGTAAAACACGAATTTGCAAGTTAAAATTGTCGCTCGGCACTACTAAGAGAGTTATAAATTGTTAAAATCTGACAGTTGTAAGGTTAGGTTACCTGTCGTACCGACACCAACAAACACTATACGCGAACAGCGTATAAGGACCGGCCAAAAGAGAGCGTCAGGAGGAGACGATACCATGCAAGAATCTGAAAAAAACACACGAAGAACAAATCAGTCGTACATAAATTATATATCGTACAAAGTTAAGAGGATCCCGTAGCGGGTCTGTTTTACCGACAAAATTACCATTTTCGTAGTTATAACCTTTCGTCGTATTAAATTCATGGAATCAAAAATGCTTGCGTACAATGACAGTATATGCATTGATGATCCCAGGAAACTCCAATTTTATACCAAAAATGAGTCAAAATTACAAAATTCATATGATCGATCACATATAACCTCAAAGATGCGAACTGTCACTCCGTCATACTTGTGCTTCGTATAAAAGTTCTACAACTTGTACTCACATGAAACTGAGTTTCCTAGGATTCGATGACATGTAGAATTACTGTGAAACCCTCTAAATTGGGATTAGACGTTTAAAATAAGAGTATAGTTAGTACAAAACTTTCGTGTTTATGTATGGGTGTGATGTATCGTAGTAGTGTGTCCGTGTGCTCATGTATATACGAAAATGGTAATTCTGTCGGTAATACATAGATGTCGGTAGACCCGCTACGGGATCCTCTTAATAAATAATCAACAGGTTTATAAAATTAAAGTTATATTTCTTCAGTTTTTTAGTTTTGACCGTGAAAATGACCTTATCGCAAATTTTTATTGTCATATACGTAATCAGCGTTCAAAAATACGAAAAAATAGTGTCGCTTCAAAAAGTTCGGAGGGTTCACCTATTCCGATTTAACTACTGTAACCAGTAATAATCCGATAAAACCAGTACCACTGTATAAATTTGTAACAAAAATCGTACTGTAAATGCGCAAACGAAAATCTATCGCATAAAAGATTATTTTAGACCAACTTAAAATTTCATACAAAGAAAAGTTAATCTAAAAAGGCCCTCCGCCGCCCTCGCCAAATTCTTCTCGGCGGTCCTCTTTTGTTTGCGATAAAATTAAGTTTTTACACTTTTATAACTTGATGGCGTAAAAAGATCGCAAGTCCCGAAAATTAAAAATATTGCAGTTCGGACACGATTGCCTATTCCCAGGCACGAAATCTAACGATGTCTCGCAATTCTTGATTCGCTAGAGTCATTACGGACGACGATCCATCCACTTTAAAGTTGACGCGAAAACATCGCGAGTTCCGCCAATTAAAAATTTTTTATTTCTAACGCGATATCCTATACCCCGGCACGAAATCTATCGATATCTCGTAAGTTTTAATTCGATAGAGTGACATTATTGACGACGATGTAGCGCGACTTTAAATTGGCGCGTAAAAATCGCAAGTCCAGAAAATTAAAAATTCGTAGTTTAAACGTGATTTCCTATGCCCCGGCACGAAATTTATCAATATCTCGTAAGTTTTACTTCGATAGAGTGTCATTATTGACGACGATGCAGCGCGACTTTAAGAAGGCGCGTAAGAAA